GGCACCCCCTTACCCAGCAGGAGCGCGGGCAGCGCGTCTGCCACAAAGCTGTCGCAATTCACTGCCCATCTCATTAACACAAATTGAAACTGATGCGGTTTAGCACACCAGGCTGCGAATGGCAGTGCCTGATGCATGGACGTGGCAAACCGCCCCTTGTGCCAGGATGCTAGCCCTTGGCACAGCAACGGGGTAGCACCGTGGCTACCTCTTTGCTCACCCCCACACGAACAGCCAAAGCTCAGGAGCCACAGCTCTTGGTCACTGCTGCTTCTCGATTTTGCATTTCCAACCACCATCAGCTGCAGACCTACTTTGTTGAATTGTGCTGACCTGCACCTTTTCTCAAAAACACCAGTTCAAGCAACTTTGTGGAAAAATGAACAGGTAACCTGGCTAATACAGACCTGAACAGATTACTGTAGCTCTGCAGAACTGCTTTTTGGATAAAAACAGCTCTGCTGGGATGAAAGCCTTCATAAGCCAAACCCTTTTAGAGATAAAATGGAGAATGTGTGCTATCACATCATGGACACATGCTTATTTACACCAACTGAAGGAGGCCTGGGTTCAAAATGTTCACATGTGAAGATTGCTCATCTGCCAGCATCAGTGTGAATTGAAGAAATATCAACTAGAGGGCCAGGAGGAGGAATAATGTTCCACATTGCCATGCAGTCCTCCAGGTATGCTGCATATCAGCATTTCCCAGTGGTGATTTTGACCACAGAGTCTATCTACACAAAAGGAAACAGGAAGAATCAAAGCACCATAACTTGGAACTACATTGCCTTAAATAACATGGCCAGAATCGTCTCAATTACAATTTGTTTGCAAAAGCAGAAAAAAAGCATTTCATTACTGAATAAATTCTATTTATCTTATTAAAGGTTTTAGTGATGAGTCTGATGATAGATGGGAAACATTATGTACTGGTTCCTTATGTTTTCATACTAAAGATTTTGCTGTCAACATTGCTGTGAGAAGAATAAAGCTCTCGCAGGACGAAGAAAACTGGCCATGGTGGGTCACTACTATACTTGATTTTTTAAATTTTTTTTTCTTTTGAAGTACTTTAACAGCACAGAATCTGTCATCTACTAGATGCTGGCAAGAAGAGCCTCAGCAGCCATGCTCCAGACCCACATTTCAACTTCTGCACAGGATCTAAAGAGACACTGCTTACAACAGATTTGTTAAAAACCAAGATTTTCTGAAATTCAGTGCCGGTAGAAATGTTTCCATGAAATTCAAACAAAAGTCCATGGAAAACTACACTTTTATGCTAACATTTCTCTGCAGCATCCACAAAGCACAGCACTGCAACACTGCTATAGCACACAGCAATATGGAGCAGGGGTGGGGAATAAACTAGAGACGGGCCATATAAAAGTGAAAGTGCCTACCCGTCTCCAATGATCACGCTGAAATACTGTAGAGAAATCAAAACAGTAGTTAAAAGTACTGCAGAATAGCTCAAAAAGCATTCTGTCTCTAATATTTACAGGATTATTAGCAACAAGGCGCTGACTTTTCTGATTTAGCAGTCAAAGAGATTACCTTTTGAACTTATGGGACAAGAATTCATCCTCAGACTCTCTTATTAATGATATCCATTACATTCAGCTCTGATGTTAACTCTAGTACCTCTTACCTTAAAGTGCTCCGCTACTATCTGTACGATACCTCTCCAGAAGTTTACTAAAGGAGTAAAACTGTTTTTTCACAGCTGTGTCGGAATCTCGCAGTTTATTGTAACTATGGATGATTAACATGGTGATCAGGGTTCAGAACTGCTTAGTTCAATTGTTACTACTTGACCTTATACAATCAGTGGACAAAGTAAACGGATAAGGTTTTCCTTCATGTTTTGGACAGCCTGCAGCCTACCTTTCCATCAGATGCAGTGTTTATTCTGTAGTGGTACACCCTTCCTTCGTAACGCAGTGAAATAGATCGCTGTCCTGGACTGCTCTCGCTCTCTCGCACAAGAAAGCTGCCGTTGATACCGCTACTCAGAAGGTACTCAGCAGCGTTACGTGACACTGGTCCGTGATACCAGGAATGCTTCTCCAAACTATTCACAGGGGTGATGTAGTTGCTGGGCACCCAGCCTTGTCCATTCTTCGTTTGGGCTTCACACCATTCCCCATTATGATTGTAGCCCAGGACACGGAGCTTTTCACCTTAGCGCAAGAAGAAAATACATTTAGACATGGCAAACCTGGGAGGACAAAGATAGGTTCTTTCTGGCTAACAGATCATTAAATACCCATAAGAACAGGTATCTGACTGTGCAGGGAGCATGCATGTTTCTTTAAGCTTGAGTGGACATATCAAAGCCAAATAAGGTCACATGTATGCTTCAAGAGTTTGTCAGGCTCTCGCCGAGTTCTGCACCAGCTCTGATACTGTTTGAGCTCAGCAAATTTTATTTGAACTGAATTGGCTTGATGGAGCTAGGAGAGAACAGGAGTGGATAAACAATAAAAAAAAAAAATTCAATTAGTAAGGTAAACTAATGTGACTTAGAGTACACATAAGGAACAGAAGGACTGAGTAAGAAAACGCTGTGTCTGTACAGTCATTTTTCATACAGGGACTGTGTTTTGGAGAACTATGAAAATGATAGAGGCCAGCCTCTAAAATCAGCTTAGTTTAACTTCTCAAGTTCAAATTCTTGCTCCTAATGGAGACCTTAGTTTTGGCAAACAGTTTCTTGCACAATGCAAAAGCTTCAGACAGTTTTAACCTTTTAAAAGATTATGACTTCGCGAAATATTTATATTTGCTTAAGAAGAATTCCCACAGTAAAAAAAAAATAAAATTCCATAGGGTTTACTGTATAATTCAGTTATTCCACAGCGGCTTTTCTTTCTACGCATTCTCACACACTCCCAGTACTGCTCTGCCCAGCTACCTTACCTTTAGTTATGCTGAGAGTGTTGTCCCCACTCGCCACAAAATCATACAGTGCAACAAAGAGATGGGGGTCATTTTCACTAGGACAGGACAGAAGGTTTTCCTTGGAGTTCCAGCGAGCTGCTTCACTCAGACCCTGGGGCTCAAAGTCCGACACTACCGGCCTCTGAAGGGCTTCTGGAGAAAGAAGCAGAGAGGAAAAAACAGGTTCATTTTTGCTGATAAAAGCCATCTGGTTAACCCACGCACTCTCATTTTCTAATTTACATCGTTTCTTTATGTGTGTGCTCCTCATGTGTCAGAGGACAGTCCTTTAATGTGTATCTCCTGATACACAGGCAGGACAGCCTTGTTCCAGAGCTGACCCCAGCCTGCCCCAAGCCCCCAGCTCCTGCCTCCCGCGGCACACAGGAGAGGGAAAGCCCCTTTCCCTCCCTCCAGCAAATGCTGCTCACGTAGGCTGTTTGCTGCTTGCAAATCCTTTGGCTCATGCCTAACTGCTGGAATGGTCAGCTTTGAAAACAAACCCAAGACCTTTAAAAGGTAAATCCCATAATTATCCTATAAATTAAATCGCCAGAACATGCAGCACAGAGCGCAGGCAGGGCAAGATTTAGAAGACACAGTACTTAAGAATGAGATACGTACTTCTGCTGTTCACAGTATTTTTAATCATTTCTCTTATTTCCTGTGCCTTTTTTGTTGCCCTCTCTCCTGCTTGCCGCTCTCGAAACCGGAGCACAGCAGCGAGCAAACTTCGCACAATGAGCTTTCCACATTTTTAGGAGAGACACCTCCAGAAAAAGAGATTCCTAAAAACTGAGCTTCACAGAAAAACCAACCACCAAAGCTTTTTGTACACTGCAGCGTATTAGGCATGTAATATTGGGTAAACATCAGGCAAGTCCATATCCATCAGGGAGTTTTGTTCCAGGCGCCCCAGGAAGCCCTCCCCTCCAGACCATGGTTCAAGAGTTAGGCAGTGAGATCCAGGTAGCTGTACCCCCTCACTGCAACGCGCCACCCCCGGCGGTGCTGGCAGCCCCGGGGGTTACTGTGCTGGCACGAACCCAGGACAAAAAACTGTGAAAAATCTTGGGTTTTGCGTAGTTATTTTCCATCTGGATACGTTCGTTGAGCAAGGTCACAGCACCGCACACAAACCATTGCGTCAGCGCAGCTAAGGGGACAGGAAACACGGCACTATTGCACCCAGCCCCTTGAGCCACGAAATTGCTCTTCATTAGTTGCTCTTCGTTAGTCACCATCAGTCCCCGCCTGCTCCCCCCATTCACTGCTGAATCCCTTTTCTGCACAGGCAAAGGAAGCAGGGCTTTGGAGGGAGAAATCCCAGGCCAAGTGTCTTCTACATCATCAGGTCACCTGGGAGCACAGTTCTCTCTTTCACTCTTGTAATACTAACTAGCAAGGGGCTGCCACGTAGATGCAATCACACTAAAATATGCTTTTAACACTATTGCTGGAAATCTGGTATAAACTGCACCAATAAACCAGTGAAGAATTGATATGATTGACAGCAGAAAACCTTTGGAAGTCAAGCGTGGATTGGGACAGGCCCAAAATACATTTCCCAATAGGGAAATTCTTTAAAACAAAACAAAACAAAACAACCAACCAAACACACAAAAAACCCCAACCCTACAAAACAATAAGAAAGTTCATTATTTGCTAAGCTTTGGTGTTGAAAGTGCCACGATTCACCCACAGACAATCTGGCATCCCTGCTGTGTTGGTCAGATCACCATTTGTAAATGCTCTCTGGGTCGGTATTTCTGAACGCGTATTGCTCCATCCCTGGACATTCCAGGTCAGGTTGGACAGGGCTCTGAGCAACCTGCTCTAGTTGAAGATGCAGGCTCACTGCAGGGGCATTGGGCTAGATGATCCAAAAATGGTCCCTTCCAACCCAAATCATTCTACGATTCTATGAACACAAGTACTACTGTATTCTTTGGAAAAGGTAAGATCATATGTGTGGGCAGAGAGCAAAACAACAAGTATACACACTGTTGGACCAGTTTTCCTAGCCAAACCGTATCTGTAGGGTGATATATTTTTATAGTGAATCAGAGAAGTCAAATAATTCTGCTTTCTAAATGATTCCACTGGCCATACCACAGTCAGAAAATGTGGTGGTGTGTTGGGTGGTTTTTTAAAGCACCTTGACATCCTTCCTTCTCCCTCCTGTCCCCTGCAGGAGAATACATTTGAATAGCCTGGGTTTGCTTCAAGAGGGACAATGAGAAAAGAAACAGAAAATCTACTTTCAGAAAATTAAGCTATAATCATTTTACCATGAAAACGCTTTGATCCTGTCAAGCCCATTAAGCTCCCTTATCAAACACAAGGCGCTGCAGTGACTGGAGATACTCCAAGGAGTTACACCATCAGTAAACACCTGGAACAGACAGACAGCAGAGAGCTGCAAGTAGCAGATACACAACTTCTGCGAGGAGCGACGCCGTGATGTTCCCCCCGCCCCCAAATACGGTACAAACCGGTACATGCTGCACGGTGGGACAGACCATAATCTCTGTTAGGAAGGAAAATGCCTCCCCCACGGGGGACTGATTCAACAGGAAGGCAGGAAATCCAAGGCAGGCTCCCCTCCAACTCCAGCGCGATCGCAGCCCAGCGAAGGACGGCTCATGCATGGCCACGGATGGGGATGCGGGAGGAAAGCCAAGCACTCTGCAAGAATCCCTCCCTCGTGCCCAGGCCACAGCGATGCTGGGACGGACTCATTGCACATGGATGCCAAGGTATGCGCTTCGATTCAGACCATGAAACAACACCATGTCAAACGCCGAAAACACCTGCAAGCTGCAGTGCGAAAATCAAGGCAGGCTGGTTTTGCTCGATGACATTCCTACAAATACTGACTCAGGGATAACTGTCTGCAAACCCAAGGACCGGCAAGAGCAAGGACCGTTAAATAAGCATATGAGAATTTGCTAAGCTGGAAAACCACACAAGTGCCCCAGGGAACGCGTAGGATGCTGCGCACAGACAGGCTCATATCCTCCATATCCTCTAAGATGACTCCCCCCTGCGCAGCCGCTGGCACCCCGACAGAGGTGCCCGCTGTGCAGGATAGTGTGACAGGGAGATGCAAGACCCAACTCTTGGGTTGGGTTAGGGTTGACATTTCCAGAAGGGAGGAACCCCAAGTTAAGAACAGGGATGGGGAAGATGGTGACTGAACGAAGCTTGAAGGGCAGCAAGAAAGGGAGGATGAGGCCCTGAGTCAACACAGAGAAGAGCGTAAAGGAAAGAGCAGAGTTGTGGTGACCCGAGTGTAGCAGAAGCTTGATAGACCATGACAAAACACACTTTTAAAGGTCTGGGCCCCAAGAGGAGGCTGTCAGCAGACTCAGGACACAGAACCATGAAGCGAGAGAAGCAGACAAGACATGTCCATCTGGGAGCCACACACAGCCGGCTGTCAGCAGCTATTCTCTAGTAAATTTGCCCAGACATTACAGTCCTTCAGAGCAGGAATTAGACACTGCTGTTCATAGGTACTGAGGGTCTTTTTCAAAACACTACAGCTTCTTCACCTCCTACCGTTGGTTTTAACTACAATTTTACAGCACTGCTGAGCTCTTCAATGGGCCAGATTCCTCCTAATAAATCAGCCTGGCTGCTGTACCTACAGGAGGGTATCCTGGCACGGCGATGGGGCAGGAAGCGTAATTCAATCTGTTATCTCTGTGCTGTGATTCTTTCCATGCATCCACTTTGTCTTCTGCTGCGTTTCAGCAAGACTGTAATTTATTACTTGGACCACACCATGCTCCGGATGACACCTGGATTCCTGGGAGGAGTCCTGAGGTAATGCTGTAATTCAGTTCTCCTCTAACACCAACCAAATGACGCCTCTTAATTAAAGCGGAGCAGACTTCGAACTAAGAACTAACAGCACCTTTTATTTTGAGGCAGTGGCCATAAGAATGGCTTCAATTCTCCCCTAAATTAAGTTTTTACCAGGAGATATTTATGTTTGCATTCTAAAAGGTTTCATAAGTGTAACTATCTCTGGCTAATTGTTGTTTATATGAAGTCATGAATCATTGTTAGGGACCATGTAAGAAGTTCTCCGATAACGAACAATTCTGGTCTAGACCAACGCAAAGCAAATTTCCTTAGTAATTTAAGGGAAGTGTTGGAAAACAGGCAGAAGCACAGAATTACACTCGGCTCCTCCACAGCTGACTGCAGGGCTGTCCCGAGGGAAGGAAGAGACCTCCTGTCTCCCTACAAAACAAACATCCTGTGGTCTTACAAACTGTGCTGTGCATTTTTTCCACGAGGTTTCTAGAGCGAAGGAGCGCGGAATATATCTAGAAATCTCTTTGGATATACAGCACATGCTATCTAAAGCTTCTCTCCCTGTATTCCCCTTACTTTCTTTTTGCCCTGGAAGAAACGATGATAAATGGCAGAATACCTATGCAGATTTAATACACCCAAATGTTCTCAACTCCGAGCACGTATGATGGAGCAGCTGCCTCTCTGTCCCAGTATTTCCGTAGTGGCCCTCATGGATTCCCTATGCCTGATGGAATATGGATTTTAAAAAATTAAATAAATAAAAATCTGTAAACCAGATCTTTCCAAAAAGAAGGAAGGTTTCATGTTTTATTTCAGAGGCATCCCTTTAGGTGAGAACATGCTCAGCCTCTCCTGTCACCCACTCCACAGCACACGCCACATAACCTTCTGCAGCAAAGGCTGTTGCTGTCACTTCTGCTCTTGTCTGATATTTGAAAATTGCACGTTCTTACAGCCGGCATGAGGACAAATGATCACTTTTTAAATATTGTGTGCTTCTATACTGAGGTGAAGAAGTGCAAAAATAGAACCAGCCTCTCTCAACCAGACCCACTCCCCTTGTGCTGGGCCAGCCTCCCCTCCTGTGCTACCCTATTTCCACCCCCAGCAAGGTGCCTTTGCCCCGCAGGCAGGCTGCACCCCTTCTCGCACGGCCACCAGCAGCCTCCGGCACTCTAAATACTGACAACCAGGTCTGCTGAATGCAAACACGAGAGAACAAGGCCACCCAAGGCTCCTACTGCATTGCCCAGGCACAAACACGCCTTCACAGTCAAGCGCAGGTTTTACCTTGTCTAACACCAAGCGCCCCAGATGATGTG